AGAGAGAGAGAGAGAGAGAGAGAGAGAGAGAGAGAGAGAGAGAGAGAAAAGCATCTGCAGGAGCGACAGCATCTGTCTGTGCTGGGTTAAAGAGTCAGCGCCACATTCACACGCACCTGTAGGATGAAGATGCTGCCTGTGCTCTGAAGAGTTGGGATTTATTCTTTTTTTTTTTTCTTTTTTTTTTTTTCCCCTCCTCCACCACCAAGTTCGCGCCGGAGTTATAGACACTTTTGCAAAGAGAAAATGGCAGCAGCCTCGACAGATTCGGGACAGGGTTCCTCCAAAATCACCCCCGAAGTGCTGCAGGAGATGCTCCAGTTCTACAACCTGAGCCGCCAGGAGTTCATCAACACTTACAACATCCAGCCGCTCGTCTACATCCCCGAGCTGCCGTACAGCGCCAAGACCACCTTCGTCATCATGTACGTGGTGATCTTCGTCCTGGCTCTGGCTGGAAACAGTCTGGTCATCTACATAGTTCTGAAGAAGCGGGCGATCCAGACGGCCACGGACATCTTCATCTGCTCCCTGGCGGTCAGCGACCTCCTCATCACTTTCTTCTGCATACCTTTCACTTTGTTGCAGAACATCTCGTCTGAATGGTTTGGAGGTGAGCTTCAGTTTGAAATAACTTGCGTTTTTCAGTGTGAAAAAAAAAAAGAAGTCATCAAGATGTTGTTTTTTTTCGCAGAAAATGTGATACCTGTCAGGTGGCTGCATGTCAGCGGAGTTATAAAAAAAAAATCACCTGCTCTCCTAAGCGTGTGAACAAATAACATAATTAAGAAGAATATGCAAATCCCTCGTTCTGCACCCAATAAAATAAAGGCATAATACAATAAATCAGAGTAACATGCAAAAAGGTTATTTTGTAAAGTTAATATTCAAATTCAAATGAATCAACATGCTTTATTTATGACAGAGGGAAAATAGATGTTGCCTTAACTCATATGATCCAAGTATCCTCAAATGGATGGTGATGCACCACCAGTTGTTGCTAATCCACCTCATTTGCTTTTGCAACTCCTCTCTAAATCTTTGTCTGGCTGTATGGTCAGAAAGGCAGGCAGCAGAGAGATGTTGGAGTTGGGGATATGATCCTTCACTATTTCGGTCGATGCAACAGATGGTTTGAACTTCTTTCTTATCTCTCTGCTCTTTGGTCCTGCTCTGCATCCATTCATTTTTTTTTTTATTTGGTGGTTTTCCAGGTGTTATTTGAGCTTTTGAAGAGCTAATCAGCGTCTCCTGGTTATAAAAGCAATATCTTGTAGCCACTGTTAATTGTTCAAAAGTAAAATACTAATAATAATGACAGTAAACTTTACTTAGAAATGAACAATGTCACATTTTTAATGTTACAAACGAGACTCATTGGGATGTATGTTCTAATTTATAAACTACAACTGCATATTTAATATATGTTCATTCCACACATGATTTATTTTAGGCAGCTTCTCAGAAAAATGCAGTTTGACAAAAAAAAAATAAAATACTGATAAGAAATCTAAAAGAATCACACAGAATGTTTTTGCCTAAAAATGGCGATGGCTCAAGTTATGGTTCAGAACACACTTCAAAGTAAATTGTTGGCCAGCATGTAAAAGCGACAAGAATGCCTTCAAGGAAGGAGAAACCCAAAGCACAGCTGTAGCCAATACACTGAAATGACAAATAAGCCCCAGAGTCTCAGAAAATGATGATAGAAAAAAAAAAAAGGGGGCATATCAATTTGAGTTAGACGTCTGTGAGAATACGAGCGATGAAGCACCTCTGGCTCCAGCTGACCAGCTGGTCAAATCCGTGACCCGCAAAAAAACAACTAATGACGCGAGGAGAGAAAGTGACAATTAACGGGAGAATAATGAGATTAACAGACATTTATGAACTGGACCGCAACCCTGCTTCTTTTTAAATAGGGAATAATGACATTGTGAGTGAGTAAACTCTACTGATGTCATATATTGCCTGCTTACCAGAATACTTCCTCATGCAGTTTTAGATTTTATTGGCAGTTTTGTTATATTTGAAGACATTAAGAGAAAGTTAAACTCTCCATTGCTCCACATTTTTTATGCATTATTAGTTTTTTGTTTTTTTTTGCATTATTCTCTTATTGTATTTAAAGATTGTAAATATAATTTCATGCTTCTGCACATACAGCAGTGCCTTGCAAAACTATTGAACTTTTTCCACATTATGTCATGTTATGTCCTCAAACATCGAGTTTATTTGAGTGGAAATTGATATGAGACACCCCCACAAAGGAGCTTATAAATTGTGAAGCAAATGGAGGTTAGTCAGACAGCATTAGTGAACAAACATCATATCGATCGAGCAATACTAAAGACAGGATCTCATAGAGGACAGTTGAAGTCATCGTCTTAAAATAGAAAGAACCCAAGACACCTACCCAGACAAGGTCACCCACTTTAATTGACAACCTGCACAAAGAGAGCAATGGTCAGATAAGCAGCAGGAGGAAAAAAAAAAAGACAACTCTGAAGGAGCTGTGCAGATCCACGTTGGGGGCGGAAGAATCTGTCAAAAGGAAAACTATTAGTTGTGCACTCCACAAATCTGACCTTTATGGACCAGTGGCAAGAAGAAAGCTGTCTCTAACAGAAATGAAATCCAGTTTGCTCTATGTCCATTTATGGGACACAGCAAATATGGGGGGAAAAAAGCAAACGCTGGTGGAGGCAAAACACTTAAACCTGACAAAAGGAAAACTATTAGTTGTGCACGCCACAAATCTGACCTTTACATCATTGCAAACTTGTGTGACGGCCTTGTCAAGCTACCTAAATCCAACAGATGCCCGCTGTTCAATTTGAATAAACTTGAGCTATGCTATAAGGACAAAGCTGCAAAACTATTAGGCTGTAGATGTGCAAAGATGACGCAAATAAAGACCAGGTGGCTCTATGTAACATTGACTCTGTGGGGAAAAATACAAATTGGACATGGAAAATGTGGTTTACATTTGCCTTCACATAAATGTCCATTTGAAAAATTAAGCTCTTTAGAAGGAGAAAAAAACTGTTTCTGTGAGTATGGTGGTGTGATTTAACATCTTTTGTTGGACTTTTAAGGAGGGAGAAGTTTGACTAAAACATATTGGGTTTGAGAACAGCTTCCTTAGATGGATCAAAGATGATCTCTTGTTTTAGGTGATCCATCCTTTGCTGGTTGGAAAATAAATTGTGCTTTGAACGACGTGACCAACAAAGATGTACCCAGCAGCACATCGCAGTAAGACTACGGAGAGCTGAAAGCACCTGTGTCTGTTCCCACAAAAAGTTCAGGGTGCGTCAGGGTAAAGCCTGTACTTCGTTATCTGTGAAATGTGTCCACTTACTGCTGTCTAGCGGGAGACGGCTGCCACCTCAAGCTGTGGGGAAAGATGACGAGGTTGCCTTTGTTTCCTGTCACAGACCTCCCTTCCTCACGGTTCTTCATTAACCTCTGCTGCTTTTCTGGACCTTATCTGTTTTACCCCTTTGCTTTTGCCTGCAGGGGTTCTCGTTTGCAAGACAGTTCCTTTTGTGCAGACCACAGCCATAGTGACAGGCATCCTGACGATGACCTGCATCGCCATTGAGAGATACCAGGGCATCGTCTTCCCTCTGAAAATGAGGCGGCAGTACTCGTCTAAACGAGCGTACAAGATGCTTGGTATTGTGTTTCACTTGAAAGTTCCCATGTTTACGTTTTCTACCTTTTATGCTCCTCTGTAAACTATTTTCAACATATCACGCGCACACACGCTCCTGTAATCTTTGGAGGTGAGGGCTTTTATCTTTAAGAGAAATGAATAAAATCAAAATGACATGGAAGGTTTGCTGTGAAAATAACAGTTCTGTTTCGTTTGATGTAATTTTCATACAACCCTGAAAGGCAGTCGAGGGAATCATCCAGCATTGGATTATGTGAGTTGAGTATGGTGGCTTTACACTAAACAGATCAAAGAGATGTTGAGTAACTTGCCTGGGAGCATGTGACTCAAGTGAGAAGGAAGGGCAGTGGCACTGATGACAAAAAGGTTGCTTTTACAATTTTACGGAAATGTTTTTATCAAAGCAACAACTGTTTTCTCAGATAACGTGGGCTTTTTTTCTGCATGACTCCTACAGGGCTTGTATGGATGGCTTCTGTAATCGTGGGTTCACCGATGCTATTTGTGCAGCAGCTAGAGGTAAGTGCCCTTCGTAGCGCCCCATTACTAAACAGCCTTCTATAGCTTCCCTCATTTCACTGGATAATCACAGTCTTCATATGGATCTGTGTCAAGCAAACAATTTATCTTAGACTAGCACATCATCACTGAAGTCAGTAAAAGTGATTACCTTAGTTGATGTGCAGTGGTGATTTTTGGTTCTCTGGGCCGTCGTCTCCGACTGCTGCCTCAAAAACAATCAACTGTTCATGCCATCAACTGTCCCAACGAAACCTTTTGTACAAAAAACCATTTTACTACATATGCAAACACTAAAAGCTTATATAGGATATGCAAAAACTTCTGAATGAACAATGACCCTAAGCATAAAGTGTTAGAAGTTTTAATTCGAAGGGAAAATCTAAATCTAGTTGAGAATCTGTGGCAGCACCAGCTGTTTTTGCAGACATTCGTCGTTCAGTCTCACTTTACCTGGACTACATGCAATGAAATATAATTACAGTAGCAGTTGCTTTTATAAACTACTGAGTGCGATGGGCTGAATCAAACACTTTTTCAGATTATTCCTGCATACTTATTTTTCCTTCCACGTCTCAGTGATGAACTTGGTTGTGTGAAAGCTTGTCATTGCAATGCGACTCTGTGTGGAGAAGGTCAAGGCAGATGACAATTTTTCACATAAATACAGCAAAGCTTAGCAAAAACTGATTCTACTTTATGCGACAACAAATGACTATTAATCCAAGTTGTCAGCCTCAGCGCTTTTCTCGTTACTCATCCCCAGGTGAAGTATGACTTCCTGTACGATCACTACCACGTGTGCTGTCAGGAGAGCTGGAGCTCGCTGACCTACAGACAAGCGTACACCACCTTCATCATGGTGGCTCTGTTCCTGCTCCCTCTGGCAGCCATGCTGTTCCTCTACACGCGCATCGCTATTGAGCTGTGGATTCGCAAGAGGGTGGGCGACGCGTCGGTCCTGAATACCATGAACCACAGGGAGATTGGCAAGATCTGCAGGTGGGTACCACGGTAGGGTTTACTTCAATTAACAAGACGTTTAGTGAGATTTACAGCCTGTGAGTACGCCTCTTTTGTAGGAAAAAGACTTGGTATTTAAAACATGCTGATGTGATAAGTTAGTGAAGAGAAGAGGTAGGTAGACCACATAAATGTTTGAATCCATGAACAGTAATGATCGACATATGGATGCTATTTGAAGACAATTAATGGAAACTTCTTTCGCATCCCCCACTTTAGTTTTTTTTGTTGAAATGGTAAATTGACAATTGGACACAGTGTATACCAATCAGTGTAAGTCCTTGGTAAGATGACGTGTTCATGGGCAATACACAATGACAGCTTTTCACTGATCCTCACCTTGCAGATGGTGCTTTTAAAAAGCTTTTAATGAGAATGTCGAGAATGACAAAGTAATAGGAGAATGCAGGCGCGGAGACTGTTGATGGTTTTCTTTAACAAAGTTCTCCTTAGATGTTGACCTTCTTTGCTTCTCTGCTGTGAACAAGAAGTGCCCATCCGCTTTCAAAGTGGACAAAACCTCCACTGGCCTTCGAACACCCAAGGATTATAGGTTGTAATAATCTTATTTGATTAATTTGACTTTAATATAATCACGTGTTCTTTTTTCTGTAAAGTCGAAGCGGAGGTATTTGGGTGGCTGTTAGGAGCTGGACTAATTCACTGGTACACTTTTATTAAAAAACAAAAAAACTAGAGTAGTAAAATTTGAGATGCGCTTTATCATCTACATAAGTGTTTACTCTTGAATGATAATGTGTCCTTTTACAGGAAAAAGAAAAGAGCTGTGAAAATGATGGTCACAATCGTCCTGCTATTCACCATTTGCTGGGCTCCTTTCCACACAGTCCACATGCTGTTTGAGTACAGTAAGTACGGCTTAATGTACGTCTTGCAGTGAAAAACCGTTTGCACTCCTGATATCTTCCTAAAATTTCTTCTCTTTTGTGACACAGAAGAAATCTTTAGGGAAAGTTAACCTTAGTAAATATGAAAAAGCATTGATCAGATGGTTATTTATAACATCAGGAGGTCGAACCAACCTGGTTTTATGTGGAAAAAGACGTTGGCTCCTGAAGACTTCCATCAAGTGTTTACAGAAACAGGCGTCTTTGACATCGCTGTGGAAGGATTTTTACACGCTCGTTCATGGATTTTCTAGCTTTTCAGGTCATGCAACATCATCCCAGTCAGGTCAGAGTCCAGATTTTGACTAGGACACTTTAAATAAATGTTTTTATTTTTTTAAGACATTCAGAGGTGGACATAGTTTATCTATTTGTCTAATACCCAGTTCCATTTTTTGTCCAGATGTTCCTCTTCCGACAATCTGAAGAATCTTATTAAATATTCCTGCTGTGTGTAGTGTGTCAACAGGAATCCAGTTTGCTCACACCTAAAGATGGGGATATTGAACATGTTGAATTGTCTTGGCTCAAAATCTCTGTGGGGGTGACATGGATGATGTTTTTATGTTTTCGTGATATTAAGCACTTTGAACTGCTTTGTTGCTGAAATGTGCTTTTAGATACACTTGATTGATTGATCGACTGATGCAGCCAGTCAAAAAGCAATGTGACAAAAACAGAGAGGAACTGAAATATTCAGACAACAAAACAGCTGCCATTGCACACCAGAAAGTCTGGTCGACGTCAGTGGCGTCTTTGTGTGGTTTTGGGCTATTCTGAGACCTTTTGTGTCATGTCGTTCCTCTGGTGTTAGAGTAATTTTGGCTCTTACTTTTCTTTTTCTTTTTTTTGCCCTTATTAGCCGTTAAGTAAACTCTGAAATCAGAGCTTTGTTCTGCTTACGCAAACTGAGATTTTAGGTATGCTAATATACTGATTGTTCATGTCTATTCCACAGAACCTTAAATAAAAAACTACACCTTTAACAACTGCATTTAAATTAATTTACTTGTGTATATGCAATTGTCTAGATGATCTGGAAAAGAAGTACGACGGCGTCACCCTGAACATGATCATCGCCATTGTTCAGGCCATTGGATTCTTCAACAGCTTCAACAATCCAATCGTGTACGCCTTCATGAATGAGAACTTCAAGAAGAGCTGCGTTTCCACCCTCTCCCACTGTCTCCGTAAACCGAACCACCAGGGTGCCGCCACAGTCGCGCCGAGACTAAGCGTGCAGTTCATCAAACCACAGAGCAGGGAAGCCTTCGTGAACGCAGATGAAGACAACAGCTCAGAGCAGCGCTCGGCAGAGAGGGGAGCCTCATGCTCGTCATCGCACAGAGAGAGCTCCCTGGGAATTATTGGAGAGAAAATTTCAACCATCCAAACCGAGCTCCCTCCGAACAGCTCTTCTCAAGTCAAATAAAACGTTCGGGCGCTTTCGATTTGCAAATCTGCCGTTTGCGATCATCAGCTGCCACGGAATTGGAGTAGCTTTGAGAACGTGACAAATAAAGACTCGGCGCTCCAAAGCCTTTCGGCATCCTCTGCAGCGCCAGGAGCCGGAGAATGAGGATTTAAAGCAGTCGGAACGTAGAATGAGTTTTATTGTAAATAGGTGCAGCAACGGAATCCGTACTGAGACACTGAAACGACTGTTTGCCATTGAAACTGAGACTTTATTTGTGCTTAAGATGGAATCTGGAACATCATGTTCACTGAGCGTTTAAAAACGATGTTTTATCATGAATTTCTGTGGTTTTCTGCTGCAGCAGCAACTATTTAGAAATGTTAATGAAGAACACACTGCAGTGTCATGCTTGTGGCGTGGAACTGTGGGTGCTCTTCTGCTTCAGTCGTTAATTTGCTTTCGTTGTGCATAAGCTGAAGTCGCTTCACGCTAATTGTGCACTTTATTGCTAGCCTGAAAAATAAAATAAAATAAAAACACATTTGAAGAGATTTAATAATATTATGACTGGAATTTATCACTGTTTAAATTCTAACTGAATGTATTTTTTTAAAGTCAGATGCACATTTGCTACAGTACTGCAACTCAACTCGGTGACAAAAGACTTTTGTTGTTTTGTTTTTGTTTTTAACTGACACTTATTGAGGATTATGGCTTACGGCTGATGAAAATCCAAAACTTAAGTCTCCCAGAAATTTCAAATATTACACCAATAAAAAAAAATAAAAAAAATAAAAAAAAGCAAACATCTTAACACAAAAGTCGACCTACTAAAAAAGTATGTCCTTGTACTGAACAGTTTATGTATACATAAGTTTCCTTTTGTATGGACCTGACGGTCCTTAAGGGTGCCAAGTCCTGCTGAAAAATGAAATATGCATCCAACAAAGTTCATCAGAAGAGTGAAGCTTTTGACTTAACATTTCCTGATAAACAACTGTGCCGACTTTGGATTTGATCAAACAAAACTTTTTCTTTTTTTCCTTCCACTAAAATATTAGTATGCTTGGTCTTATGTGATGCTCCTTCTACAGAAAAATATTTGGAATTTTCATCAGCAGCAAGCCTTACTCATCAAAAGTAACAGAAACGCTCAAGATACAGCATGCAATGCAGTTTGATCCAGTTCCATTTTTTAAAAAACACATGATAATATTCTAACTTATGAGCTGCACATTGAATAATGTGAAAATAAAATCTATAATGTGAACTATTGTGAAAAATGTATATGACGACATTTGATAATTTACACCTAAAGTTCTGACCTTTACATAAATCTCATCTCACATTCTACTGATGTTTAACAAGTCTATTTTGCAAATAAAAAAAAAAGAGACAGCTGGTCGCAGATGCCTTGTTTCACTCAGATTATTGTTACCAACAAGAGTAGTCCGGACCTCAAGAAAACTATTATTTACTGTGCAATTTATAATTGGTGCTGAAAGTGTGTTCCCTTGGGGACTTTTGTTTGTTTTGTTTATAGAGGAAATTGCTGTTTAAATTGCAGATTTGTGGCAGTGTTGTTGCTTTCAGGGACGGTGTAGTTCTCTTGCATGGGCTAAGCCACTTTAGTTGTTTGCAAAAATGAAGCTCTTACATTTTTTACGGAGCCTTTCTAACCTGATGGAATGGGAGGTTAGAAATGTCGATGCCACTTTTCTTTGAAAATGCCAGTGGCCTCAGAGCAAAAATGGCAGTGACCAGTGACCAAAACATTTATTTATTTATTTATCATTTAAATGCTGCAGTTTAAAATGAGAGCTGACTTTACGTAAACCTTTTTGAGTCGCACTTTAGCCACCTGTAACTCCCTGTGATTTAAAGAAGAAATGCCAAGAGGCACTCAAGAGGCACTAGTGACCTCATTTCAGGTTCTAGTAATTTTCACTCAAATGTTAAGTGACAATAACGTTTGAAATGGTAATTAAGAATGTATGATTTTTCTCATTCTGCTACAGACTGATTGCTTTGTTTATTTTTGACACATTTAAAGTTTGTGTTTGCAGTGCATTGCAAAACTATTCACACCCCATGACTTTTTGAAGCATGCGTTACACCATTACAATGACCAACTTCAATGCATTTTGCTGGGATTTTGTGCGACAACTCAACACAAAGGAAAGGTGACACACACACACACTGATACCTAAAGGCAATTTAGAAAGACCAGTTAACCTGACAGTCTAAGTTCAAGCATTTAAATTAATCTGACTTGTTCAAATATGTTTTTAACACTTTTAGATTTTCTTGACCAAACTGTGGGACACTGTTCCTGGTTTGCGCCACCCAAATATTGTCCTACACATTACCGACTTTGTAGCATTATAAAAATCAAAAGTCACAATTTTGATTGTTTATTGAAATTTGCAATAAAAGACATTACCTTTCCTAGCATTGTATCTGATCCTTTCTGGACATTTTCTAACAACTATGTTTAGTCATTTGCATTAGAGATATGATGTTTGAAGAGTTGATCAGCACATGCTTTAAAATCACATTTAAAGAAATGTTTCAGTGGTATTTATTGTATAAGCCTTGGACGACTGATCATTTTCTGAGATTTTTTTCCCTACTGCCTAAAATACTTCTAGTTTGATGCTGAAGTTTTTTGAAAGACAAAGAAACTAAACTCTCGCCACCTTTACATATTAAGCAGCGGATCATGAACTGAATCCTAAAAAGGCCTCGAAACAGGTTCAAAGTAAATAAAAGCAAGAGCATGCTGGGTAAAAAAAGAAAGACTTATAAAGCCTACATTTCTCCCCCGAGGGTGTTGAACCTTAAGCTGGAGAGCTCTTCTGAAGTCGAGGATGCTTCTCCCAACAGTCAGGGAGCCTCTGCAATACAACCCACCAATATGACTCAAATGCATTAACAGAAAAGTCACTACTAAAGGAAAAACTCTCTTCTCTCAGCAACACAGGAGAAGCTGTTGAGATTGAAACAACCCTGTGGGGGATTTGTACATTTAACAGCTTGTTCACATGCTTTCCTACTCTGTTTTAAAAAAATTCAACATAATTTTTTTAATCATTTGTCCAAATGGTAAACTCTGTTTTTAACAAAGATATTATTACTCCTGACTTCCAGGACAGAGTCATTGTCACCATTTAGTTTGTCTACAGTCTTTTTTTTCTTTGCTAAAAAATAAAGCAAAACAAATAGTAAAGAAAGAACATGCTGAGCTCCTTTCGCAGTGCTTGTTGTTTTTCCTCTGCATTTCCATCTTGTCCTATCAACACCATGCTGAGCTTGCTTCTGCTTTAGGTTTCTTCCTGTTAATAGGTGCCTCTCTTTAGCATTGCCTCATGTTTGCTCAAGATGGAGGGACTAAAAGTTAATTCGATGACTTCCTCAGACAAATGACTTTTGAGAAGTTGAGTATTAAAATCCTCAAGTGGTTTTGACAGATTTGTGTCATAATCTGGATCCAACTGGAATGTATTTAATGGGATCTGTATATTACAGCGTCCCGAAAACATATAACTTACGGACATTTTTCATATTGTGTGACTTAACTACAAATGTCCCTGTGTTTTGTTGGAGTTTTATGTGGTAAACCACATAAAACCACATAAAACTAAACTGTGAACTGAAAGAATGAATAGGTTTGTAAACACATCTATTTACAAACCTTTTGCTTTGCACAACTAGAGACAAAAATCTCGTTTTATTCTGTCCACTACATGTCTTGTAGCAAGCTGCAAATGGGACTTATGACTCTGTTTTAATTGGCTTTTTCCAGCTACTTTTCGTCAGATATCAGCTTCAAATAAAGCTTGTTTCTCTGTCCTGTCAGAGGCTGCAGGTGTTCCATTTTCTTCTCAAATGAAGGACTGAATTAATTCAATAGGTTTACAAACCTAAGCTCTTAAGTTTTAAGAGCTTCAAATATTATTTCATACCGTCACCAAAGCTTTATCCCTGTTGGGCGCGTTTCTTCATGAAGCTGTTGGTTCACTAATGTTCTCTAACAAACGTCAGGAGCCTTTCCAGGAACAGCTGTAACTCTTCACTTGCACTTTTCAATCACTAATTGAGTGACTTCTGAAGTTAACTGGCTCTACTGAAGTTTATTCAGGGGTATCAGACTCAGTTGCCCCCCAAGTAAAAATTTATTTTTTACTTGGTTGCGGTTGCAACGAAAATGGATGTTAATGATTCTTTTGTAATAACGAATTCATTTGAACAGATGAAAAAAAAAGTTATTCTTCATCCTAAAACAATTGAATTCAGCCTATTGGTATTTTTAAGTGCCTTGATATGTAAACTGAGTTGGCGCTCTACAGGTACAACATTTAAAACAAAAAAAAACAAAACAGAAAGAAACGTGTCATAACCTCACATTATTACAATTAGTGCCTTTGCGATCTCTGGTTGTAGTTTTTCCATACAGCCAACTTATGAGTTTCAAAGGTGTGTTGTCTCTTAAGAGTGATGGATTCAGTCATTATGATTTATTGATTTCTTGTTCGCCTCTCAGTCCAATCAGCAACTTGTATGTTTTTCATTTTCATGTTTTGCCTTTTTAACCCCAGTTGGTTGAAACAAAGGAATTTCATGCCATGTCCTCAAGTTAAGTGTCTGTTTTGTTTTTTTTATTGTGACTTGCTGCTCCACATAAATAGAGATCTGGTCTGATTAGTTTGGCCACATTGCTAAAACAAATCTTTAATTATGAAACATTCTGCACCCACAATAAATGGAAAACAATTTTTTCCTCTTTAATTTTAGAATCTTGTATTTATTATGACTATTATTGGCCTTTTCTCCATACATACTTTTCAGTGGCTTGAGATGAAATAAACGGTCAAATAAAAGCTGCAGTGAGATTTGAGAATTTAAACGGAGAAAACTGAACTCAAATGCGACTCTTTGTTTCTCCATAATTAGAGGTAACAACTCAAACAGCTACACCGTCTTTCCAATGCAGTTCTGTCATCAATAATTCAGAGGTTTGTCTCCACACTCTGAGAACATAAGGTTATATAATAGAAGAAACATTATTTAGCAGGAAAAAAGGGGAAAAACTGCTTTCCTATTTGTTTTGTAGATCAAAAATAAAAATAAAAAATATTACCATTTATCACTTGCTGACAAGTTTGAAAAGCAGCAGTCTCACAGTGGTGACATCAGGCACTGATGCCAAAAAAAGAATATTATTCTTTGTCAGAACCCTAACAAAAACAAAAACAAAAAAACAAAAACAAAATCAAACTCACAGCGGGCACTTGTAGTAAGATATTCATACCGTCTCTCTGAAGACGGTATGAATATTTCGTGCTGTTTCTTTTGTTGTTGCTATGTGAACAGAGGTATATGAAAGTCTGCGTTGTCAAAGAGGAGCGGCCTGGTGACGGGAGTGGAATCCTTGTCAGCCTTGTGTAGGAGTTTAAACAGTCCCGTTCCGATATTCATTGGAATTCCCATAATGATGCACTCTGACACGCCTGCAATCAGAACACGGGAATCTTTTAATACCTGGATCAGTCACACAAAACAGGTCAAATTACCTGCTATAAACACAAAAGTTTACCGCAGACGGAGTCTTTTTGTCCAAAGTAGGCGGCGTCAAAGAGGTGGTCGGCTGTTTTCTCAAACGAGGCCAGCATGAGGACACTCTCCTTCATTTTGGCTAGTCCAAACCTGGTGATTCCCAGGATCTCCCCCTTTCATACAACATCACACCGAAAGGGAAAGATGCAAGTGAAACACTTAATAGGACACATCGACTATAACCAGATGCGTAGGATTTTATGTAACGGACGGACACTAGTAGGACAACTGTGAAGTGGACGGAATAGAAAACAAAGATCTGAAAAGTGTGGAGTGTGGTTATATTCAACCCCCTTTCATCTGACACCCCAACATAAAATCCTGGACAACCCAATACCTTCAGCGGGCACATAATGTCAGGCGCCATGTTTTCTAAGTACCTTGTAGGACATGAGATCTGCCAGAAGCATGACGTGACGGCGATCGATGCTCATGCCGTGGTTCACCATGGTGTACTGAATCTCATTAATGATAGTGGATCTTGCAGCCTCAATACCCAAAGTCCTTTCAACCTAGATGAAATGTCAAAACACAATCATTTGCCATTTAGTTTATTTTAAAATTAATCCCGTTCCCTGTATCTTAGGAACCACCAAAAACAAACCCACCAAAACTATCTGGCTGCTGAAACACTCAGCATAGGTGGCATTTAGATGAAACGGAAACAAATCAGGATGCTTTAGAAAACTATAACTAGATAATTGGCCGCCAAACTGCAAAGACACGGTTTAATACTGAGCACAGCAGTAAGCATTACTTGTTTTTTTTGTTGTTTTTTTTCAGCACCCTGCGGACTATTATTGTCTTTAAATCACTAACAGAAAGCTCAGACCATGGACAAGCCTTTTGATGTCAGGCAGCATAAATAGAAAGTGGACTGGGCTTAAAAAGACAGATGGAAATGCCATCAAATTAGATAAATATAAAATAATTACCAGTCTTTATTATAACTGGGGGAATGATATCGCAACAGAAACTGAGGGAAATTTGAAAATTAAAAATATGGCAGAATCAAAACAAGCTGAAATGAAAATAGTGGGCCATTATCTTTAATGTGAGATCACTTAGAGACCTAATAATGCTTTGTGCTTTTACAACTCACAATTAAAATTTATTTATTAGATCCTGCAGCTACTCAGCAAACATACTGTTGTCAATGAATGTAGAAATCTGCATGGCAGTGCAGTTGGTAGCACTGTTGACTTGCAGCAAAAATGTCCTGTGTTCTGAATGGAGTTTGCATGTTCCTGTGCATACATAGGTTGTCTCCTCCCACAGTTCAAAGGCCTGACTGTTAAAACTGGGGAGTCTTAATTGCTCATAGGTGCATGGTTGTTTGTCATTTCTGTCTTGATGTTGCCATGGAGTTTCTCACAAGCAGCTGAAGCTGCTTGAGTGAAGGAAACAAAAAATTACAAAAGTGAAATTATTGTCATGATTACTGAAATTTTAATATCACATTTTTATAATTTTTTTTTATGAATTAGGTTTTCTTTTTCTTAATTCTAGGCTTAGTCCTTTTTTAATACTTAGAAAAAAATATTTGCAAGACTCACATTTAATAAATATTACTGGAAACAACAAGTGTTTCAGTATGACAGAATATTCAGGATTCTCATCAGTAACATGCCTCAAATATATTCTTTAGACATTTTCGCCTACTTGTTTCTGTCTTTTTTAGCATTTAGCCCATGGAGGAATCCCTGCAGACCTGCCTCCTGTGCTGTGTGTTAATTAGTTTTAGAAACTGGCAATAATCCAACAACAATTCATCTAAAAAAACAGGAAGTGTTACCATTCAATATCAGACAAATTGCTAAAGATTTTCAATACTTGCATCACATCTAACTTTTACGAAGGATCTTTGCTTGGAGAGTTATTTTCAAGTCGAGGGAAGTTTTTCCAAAGAAGTTGATGTGAATGCAGGACAGGGAAAAGTGGCAGCAGCCAGTAAAAGTGGAAAATATAGCACAATATAGCTTTTTCTCTGTGTAAAAGGCTGCTTTTCAAAAGCTGCGAATGACACTGAAATCATCAATCAGAACAATTTCAAAGCTCCATAAGAGAGCGCAAAAATCTGTACTGAGACAAAAAGATAAATCAAATCCTCATCGCAGTTCTAATCAGTAATTTCCTGCAATTTAAGCTGCGTAATATATGCAGAATGACTGGCGAAACAATTTCAACATGCATGCCCCCCTCTTCACACGTACCTCATACGTGTTGTTCGAGGTGGTCCGGCTCCCGTTGACACCATGCGTTGCCATGACAGCTCTCATGTTGTCGCCTTCAACCAGGAGTTTGTATTTGTTCTTTCCGCTTTGCTCGTCGATGTGAATGACGGCTCGGGCAACTTCAGGTATCCCCTGAACCACCACCTTTAAGGGGAACACGCAGCGAGACGTGGATTTATTTGTTAACTAATGACTCTTGACTTCAATTTGATCTTAATCTAGGTTAACTATAACAGTTTATTTCCTTCCTCTGCTAGAGAATCTCAGATGTGAAACACTGATGTTGTTTTCAGTAGATGGATATTTTGGTATTTAAAAAAAAAAATTCATTTTTATTTGCCTAATGTAATATTCAAAATTTCAAATTTCAAAATTTGAAATGAATATAATTTGAACATTTCTGATTAATTATGTTTTATTAGCTGCAGGTCACGATAATTCATTAATAAAACACAAAATTTTATCTGTGTGTTTTTGATTTTTGTAAACTCATACATTCAAAACACACACAGTATCACATAGTTCACATAGTATCCAGGAATATTAATGGAAAGTTTGATGGAAGGAAAAACTATGATAGGAAAAAAGCTTTACAAGGAACAAATTACCACACCCTTGAAATGTGCAGTTAATACTAGAATCGAAACAGTGTTTCGAATCTATGTAAACTCAGATTCAAAACACACAGAGGAATTTTGGATTTGATATGTTACCTGTAAATTGTTTTTCAATCTAGAAAGAAAACATTTTTGTGCTTTTAGAAGAAAAATACATTTTGCCAATAATTTCTCCAGGGCTCCCTATCCTTCTTGGATCTAGACAGATCAATACTGGTATTAACTGTCACTTCATAACATGCCCACAGAGATGTAACACTCTGACTTTAAAGAACCGCTCCCTTCCATTCTGTTTTTCAGCTTTTTAACATTGTTCTTCAGGCTGTCAACTGTCCGACAGCTGCAGGGTGCTCTTCTTGTTGCTTAAAAGGCTTTTCAAAACTAAAAACTATCTAGAAGTAAATTAAAAAAAAACATACATAGCGAGGAGAATAAAAATCTCCTTTCTTAAAGTCCCAGTTTCCTCAGGAGCGGCACCAGAAAGGCTGGCCTTATAGAAAGGTGAATATTAAAGGTCCTAAAAAAGTAAGTTTTGTATATTTTTATTCAGCTATTTTTTTACCTTTGGAAGTTCTTCTTTTAACGACTGCAGAACGTAATACATGGAGCTTTTGTTGTTCTCCCGTGGCGACACGCAGACCACCGCCTCACCGTGCACGGCGATGTCGCTGGGCTTCACTCGCAGCTTCGACATGCATATCGAGTACCGCACCGTTTCCGCATTCACCTGGCGGACAAAACATCTCTGCTAAATGAGCCGCAGGCGATCAGGCATGACAGAAGCCTGAAGTTCTCTCAGAGCAATAAGAGTGAAACATGTTTAGACAGAGCTGTGAAACAAAAGGATTTCACAGATGAACAAACTGAACCGTGAAATCAATGAAGAGTTTGTCTAATTGAAATCACTAAAAAAATAGATTATCTGTAAAGAACTTCATTTACAATGCAACTTGTTAAAGTACAAGATCTCAATACCATGTTTTCATTATTGAACATATTTATTAAAATGACGAGGAAAAAAACATAACTGAGATTAACTCATGACCAAACCAGGACAGGTAAAAACGACAGAATGAGTGTGGGTCATTCTTTAATTGCCTTTTTCTTTAACTTAAAAGAATAGCTTATAATAGTTCTATTAGATAAGAAGGGACGGCTGCACAGTGGCGCAGTTGGTAGAGCTGTTGCCGTGCAGCAAGAAGGTTCTGGGTTCGATTCCCGGCCCCGGTCTTTCTGCATGGAGTTTGCATGTTCTCCCTGTGCATGCGTGGGTTCAGACAAGGGTGTTCAGAAAATGGATGGATGGATGGATAGATAAGAAGGTGCCTGACCAATAAAACATTTAAAAATCAAAATTAGAAGTCGATCCTGAAAACATACAGGCAACCAGTGCAGAACGGACAAGTTAACATGCTCAGTTTGCCTGTTTCCTGTTGGCAGACATGCAGCAGCGACGGTGTGTGTCCAGTACAGAACACAGAAAGATGCAGTGGTCTAATAATAGCACGCATCAGCCTTTAAGCGTGATGCTTGATTAATTTTGCTAATTAATTCTAAATGATAGACTGAACTATCCCATTGTCCTCTTTATTTCATTTAAAACCAGTCTAAAAATATATATGCTCCTAGATCACTGATAGCAGTGCAGTTACAAGAAACCAAAGGAGTAACAGAACTGCTGCTTTTTAAAAGTTAGTTTTTCCAAAAACAATATATTGTTCAGTCTTATTTTCATTCAAATGTGAAAAGTTAATCTAAATCCAAACATTAATGTAATTTGCCAGATTCTGTACAGACTAATTTCCATTTTCTCCCAACAATAATACAGGACACCATGTTTTTCCAGTTACACTGTCTCCGTCTCACTTTCTGAGCCCAGTTGAAGATCCCAGCTTTGATTTTCAGAGCTTTCTAAGCTGTAGCCACCAGTGGCCCACAGACTGGAACTATATCCCTAAGCTTTAGATCTATGGACACAAACCTCATCTATTTAAACCTTATTTAACATTTTCTTCTGCGTTATACAGGTCCTTCTCAAAGAATTTGCATATTGTGATAAAGTTAATTATTTTAGATTCATTGCACACCAACTGAAATATTTCTGGTCTTTTATTGTTTTAATACTGATGATTTTGGCATCCAGTTCAAGGACCTGTATTTATTTTTTTTTACATCTTCTATTCTAACTGTTCTTGTATAGACGTTCTGGTCTTATTTTAACAAGTAAAATATAAGCCTTATTCTAATATATTCTAATCAATTAACACCGTTTTTCATTGTCCTGTTTGCTCATGATAACATTTCATAGAACATCTCAAACATTACAACGTGACCAAATAGAAAACGAAGAACCCGTTGGCGTGCAAATACTTATGCGCACTAGTACTCGTTGCAACTGAAAGGAAAGTATAAATTATTGAGCACAGATGGGATTCGTTTCACAAATGCAGTGGGAAAGAAAAAGGAGAAACGAGCCGTACCTCCAACCGGAGCAGCCTTATTCTCTCCAGAGAGAGCTTCACCAGGATGAAGCAGTCATCCGGGAGGAAAACCTCTTCAATGTACTCTGAAATCTGTCGAGGAGCACATAAAAAAAAAAAAAAAAAACGTGGATTAATTTCAGTTCGGCACTTGAAATTGTTCACGTTTCACATTGCGTGTTCACTTGTGACCCACTGGTCAATTTCTGCAGCACAATAGCTCCCGTTTAGAAGATTAGGAAAGATTACCTCTCCCAGAAGCGTTTTCTCAATTCTCCCCTTCACCAGCCGGGCAAAGTCTGCGTCGTCTTCCACGTCCAAGTGAGCCGTGATTATAGGGGTGCTGCATGGTGAGAGAAGAACTCTCAGTTGCTTATTCAAAACAAATTAGGGGCCCGTTTACTACTGTGACACAGAACAACATTGAGTAGCTAATTTCACTCTGAATCAGGTGCTAAAGCTGTAGACTTGAGGAGCTTTTCAACAGGTTAGGACGACTCGTTAAAGCACGTACTCCTAGCCATTTGAATTGTAGTTATAACTAAAATATTGCTCCATCTGACAGCCATAAATTACAGCCCATTTCCAAAGATGCACCATTTCAAAGAAAAGTGTCACCTTTGAAAAAATAAATCACTTTCGACACAGGGAAGATATTGAATTTTCTCTGTAATTACTTACCTTATATTCTTGGAAGCGTTAATAATTTCTTTGATGCGAGGCACCCCCAGAGTGATATTCATCGACGCCACGCCAGCGAAGTGAAAGGTTTTCAGTGTCATTTGAGTGCCTGGCTCTCCGATGCTCTGGGCGCAGAGAGCTCCAACTGCTGAACCTGGCTCCATCTGAGCTCTTTACCAAGAAGTAAAGGTAGTAATCAGTCTCTCAGCAAAGACAGCAAAATTGGAAGCATACAATTCTATGTTAGAAGATAAGATTAATACGGATCACGAGAGAAGGAAAGAAGTTGTTATATGCCTCTTTGTGATTGGCTAATTCTACTGTATAGTACTTGCAAAAGTACCCATACCACATTACTGCAGTTTTAACATTAATAAAAAGGCAGGTCATTTCATTTCAGCCCCAAGTCAATTTGAGTATAGCCTCTGGATCCAAAAACCAGATTGCCAATTCCAAATGAGCTATTTTTACAATAAATGAATAAATAAATAAAAAAGATCTCTGCAGAGGAAGAAATCACACATCTAGTGAATGCAAAATGTCTCTCTCTTGTTTTTTTCTTTTTTTGTTGTTTTTTTATTTTTTACAGGAACTACAGCAAATACTTACTGGCACAAACATTTGTCCTTTTCTCAAATGGGAGACCGGTTTACAGTTTAATTGCAAACAGTTCTGTCTTGTAAAATCCCACATGTCATCACATGAGAGAGTGTCACGTTTTACTGACGTTCTTACAGCAATGAGATTAGGTTGGCCAACTGTGGAATCAAGTGGCCAATGAGAACAACTACAACAGCTTTAGATGCGCAACATTTTGTAATTTTGCTTACAACATGACAACATGTTTAAATGGTTTAAGAGGTACGAATACTTTTGGAAGGAATAATCAAACATTGCTGAAAAACAGGCAAAAAAGATCATTCAAAAATAAACACTTGACGCCAACACTTGAACACGGTTTTCCAAATGATGTGGACAGACGTTGCACTGGCTTCTGTATTGCTGAATGTAACTATTCTAGTACAAAATTACATCGCTCGTCAAATACCGGATATATCAAAAAGCATTTAGAATAGAGACTCGATAAAATCAAACCACCATGAGTTTTGTACCTCATATACTTGTCTCTGCAGGTTCCTAAAAACTTCTCGAGTTGGGTTGGGGTAATTCGGTCCAACTGATAAAGAACCTTTGGCTGCAGGGAATAAATAGTTTAAAGACAGATTTATAAGAAAGATTAGATCTAGTGCCGCCATGATCACACTAATTTTTCTTAAACTGTCAATACCTCAGTAGTCCCGTTATCATTGATGCCATACTTGTCTCTGGTCTTCTTGATCCTCTCTGACATGGTCTTTATAAATTTCTTTATCTCCTGAAATAAAAGAACGAGGCAAAATCAAAAGGTCATTTAGGAACAATCTTTTGAATGAGATGTTTGTGTGATATGCAAAATGTTTCATTGTCATGCAAAGGTTAGACGCTGCAGTAAACCTGTTAGAAATGAACTGGACACAACCTCACTGAGAAATCTAAGCAATAAAGAGAGCATTCAGATATTTGAGTCAGTCTGAATGACAAAGATCAGAGTAATTTTGACAGTCACACTGTTATTTAATATGTTCAAGACACAAATCTTGCCGGCACACCATTCTGGATTTAGTACAACAATCCAACATGCTTGGTCACTGTACCTCCAGGTACTTCTCTGCACCAGTCTCTGTTAATTCCTTCATAATAGGGGTGAAAGTTTGAAATTACAACCGGCAAAGTGTTTAACAGGCAAGTCGATGTTTTTTTGTATTTCTATTTTACAACTAAATGCTATGTTGTTTTCAATGATATTTAACCCCAGTAAATACACTGAAACTTGTGGTTGTATCAAAAAAAATAAATAAATAAATAATGTTAAGAAGTTCAAGTGGTAAATTGTAGAAGTGAAAACTTTCTCCTGACACAAATAAGTATACGGTACATGCTTAATGCACCGGATTTATTTCCAAATAAAACTGTAGCACAAGCAAACTAACTATGCCCAATAAAACAAACTTGGTTACAATATAGAACATTAACAGCAAGGTCAAACCAATTTCCAAACATCTTTCGTTTCCCCAAAACAACAAGGTCACAGTAGTTAACGGAAATCAAAAAGTAAATGTAACTCAAGTCACAGGTCCATTAAGAGATTTAACAGGAAAAAAAAGAAAAACCTGCAAGTTATTTTTAACCCAGCTTTAGATTGTATATAACATATGTAGGGTTCTAAATAATTAGAAACATCCCCCCCAAAAAAAGGCATAAAAACAGGAGATTAAAAACGGTAAGACCAGAAACGACAGTGATGAAAGAACAGGGAGGCTGAAACAGTCAAAACACTATAAAAGTCAAAGAAACTAAAAAAGGCCTCCTCTCCGTTTGGTGGAGCTAACAGGTCCAGTCCCTGTTTTCCTGGAGCTAAAAAATTTTGAAGCTCTTTCTAACTATATATTAGAAAACAGAATAACAAATACTTTTGCTATCTTCATTGGGTTTCATGACATTTCTTACTCACGAATGCTAAGTAATAGATGTTGCAGCGAGTGTCAAAGTAGCTTACTGATCTTTAGCTCTGGAAAGTAGACTAACTTTAGCCAAGACAAATTACATAAACTCTTTTCAGGTTTTCTTGGCTTGTTAGGCCATAACACTGCAGTTTGTAGAAGAAAGGTTGATCTGCTTCTGGAGGAAAAAGTAAACACCTCCTACCCAAGATATAAATGTGGGTTTGCGACATTTATCCAATTTCTAGCTCACATTTTTGTTTTTGTGACCCTGTTAAAGCAGCTGGATGTGCTCTGGTCTCAGGTTCAGTAGTTATTCGAGGAAAAAAAAAAAAAAAAAAAACTAAAGTTCTTTCACAGTGCAGACCTGTGGAGTCAAGGCAGAAGTTTTTCAATCTGGTGATTGCAACTTGTTTGAACACCTGAAAATGGTGGTTTTATATGTAAAAGAACAAAATTCTTCATTTAGTCAACATCTGAACTCCATCAATGAGCCACAAAATGTCAGTCAGCTGACATGTAAAATGGAGATCGTAGTCCTAAACGGTTCCACTTGTTATTAAAAATGTAAAATGGTTTATAATTTTGAAAGAGGTCACTGCCCAAATAGAAGGGCGAGAGCACCATCATTTTACAGGACAAAAACTGTCTGAGAGCTACAACAGTTAGCACATTAGTTGCTGAAATAAACCAACAGCTTTAAAATTTGTAAACTGCTCAACAATTAATTGTATAAAATCCCAAAAGATGTCTTTTCCCCAGGCAGATGAAATAAAAAAAACAGCAACTATGAGGATCTTTTTCTGTAGATTTACAACAGTGATACGCTTGGGCAATTCTCACCTCCAAGAAGCTGTCTCTGCAGCACAAAAAGTCCGCCTTTTTCATGATGCCATCAGCAGTGAGGACGAGCTCGTTCTGACTGAGGGCCGGCTCACTTGGGCAAGTGTAGACCGCCTGGAGAGAACAAAGAATCAGAAACAATCATCCGCACAATCAGTAGTCACTGGCAGAGAGACAGCAGCCCTCCGGATGAACAGTTCGCATGCGTGCTCCATCATTTACTGCATCACACTAGTGTTTAACAGACTAAATGACTGTCTTTTTTTTTTTTAACATCTCTGAAAAACTTCACAGTGATTATTATAGACTCAATGCACCTATCTGCATTCCGAGTTAAGAATGTTGCTATCAAGGCATCTTTAAACGGAAAGTGGATCAGCCTTTTGATCCACTATGCTGACTGGTCAAATGTTAAAAATGAGAGCCTATTTCCAAGTCAAATATATTTTTATCCGCATTATTTTTGCAGCTCCAGAGAATCTGTGATATCCCATGTTTTTCTTGTTACAAGCCAAATGATCAATTGCATCAAAACTGGAAGTAAATGCTATTGTTCTATAATCCATATGAATAATTATGACTTAATCTTATATGATTAATGCTTCCAGACCCATAATAATAATTCAGGTCGAGGAAGAAGGGGGAGAAATTACATACCACAAAATCCTCAAAGAAGAAAATCTTCCAAATCCCCTAAGGTGGGTGTAAAATTGAGTTTCTGAACAGCAGCCCAATTGAAGCTTTGACCATTTCGTAATATATTCATAAACGCACTCATTCAGAAAATTAGTGCCGAATGAAAGATAAGGATTCAATATAGAAGGTAGTTTGATCATAACAATTACATGGTAAATTACAAGGACAGCCTTCCTTAAGCAGCTAAAGTGGTAGAGGTTTGGACCAGATCAAACTGAATCTCACTTTAGTTTAGATTACCCAGTTTATCTTTTGGATCAAACCACTGTCTGGAAAATAGATGTTGTTTCTTTAATTATCTTAGCAGTGGGTCTGTTTATTAAACTAAGAGACTCTGGAAAGATTAATAACTTTTTGGTTTGAAGAAGTCTCATCTTAACATTCGGATGTAAAACTGTTTTCTCACACAGAAAACTGTCTAAATGTCTGTTTAAAAAGAAAAGAAAAAGAGATCCAGACATGAAGATGCAATTTGCTGAAATAATTTTTCAATTACCTTAAAAAAGCAACTTAATGTATACATGTATAGATGCATGCCTTCATGTCATAGAATAAATAAAATAGATGTTTAAAAATGTGTTGTTTGTTGCACAAAGGTATGTTAAATACTATGGTCAGCTCTGCTGGTATCTTTCACAATTTGATTGATCAATTATTTCATTACAGCTACGATTAAAACTAACCTTAATTACATCACAAGTGTTCTTAGAGTATAATGACTTTACTTTTCCAATTCAGCACAATCTAGTAATACTGTGTGCATCAGACTGCCTTCACTTACAGGTCTCTGAGTTATAATAGAGTTCATGATGCATAGATTAAATTCTGGTGCATTTTAGCAACTACACACAGTTGAATAACCACTAAAATTACAGATTACTATATTATTGGCATTGGTTTGCATTTTAAAAATTATTTCATGGGTAAATATCCTCACAGTTTTCCTTTCTGTAAATTTTCAGCTGAATTAATAATTAAAAGCAAACCAGGGATGTCACACTTTTGTCAGCTCTAAGTAACCTGAGAAATGACTTTTTTTTTTTTTTTTTTTTTGTCGTTTTAGAAAGTCAGTGTCTGCAAAAGGGAAAAATAAATTGCTCAAAATAATTACTAAATTACTGTGTGGCAGCAGAAACAACTGGGCCTTACGCTGAACAAATACTTGTAGTGTATTTTGGTGGTCTACCCCAAGATGTGTGACAGGCAGGACAGAAAGAAAAGAACGCATCGCTAGCAATCTGTTTTTACTCTGGTCTTAGCTCACCCTAATATTGTCCAGAACTCTCTTAAACTCCAGCGGCTCATCCTTTCCTTCCATCGCAGCCGGATCCAGGCCATCGCCCCCATAAATAAATTGGATGATGTCACCGGTGGAGCTGCGCACCGTCAGGTCATACTGAGAGCACAGATCCTCGAGAGACTTCACCAGACGCCTCTGTCAAACCAAACGTCTGTCAAAGTTACCAAAAATCATCATCATCACTGCTGATTTTTAATCATGAGAAATGGTCCAAAAAAATAATCACTCAGTTGACTGACGGTCAATATAAAACAGCAATTGTTGGCCACTTTACAGTTTGTTTGCATTGAAGTTGCAGTTTGAGGACAAGCTGATCCATGTTCTGCAGACGTACGGGGTTTACTCATTTCCCAGTTTAATTCGGACCTCCGTTACCATAGGGATCCATCGGCATTACCTGCATGTATCCAGTCTCTGCCGTTTTGACAGCAGTGTCCACCAGACCCTCTCGACCGGCCATGGTGTGAAAGAAGAACTCGGTGGGCGTCAGACCAGAATAGAAGCTGTCGGCCACAAAACCCTTGGCAGCAGGCAGCTGGAGGTGAAATTATTATCGACTCATTAAGCAAGCTTTAAAGTGTTCTGAAAACGCCCATGAGAGCATTGCACTTATCTGGATCTTATCCAGTTTTCTCCTGCGGTTCAATCTATGATCGCTTTCAACACATGAATGGGGACAAACCAACAGAATGTGGGGCAAGTTAGTATAGCAAGGACTACTGAAAATAAGTTAGTGTAGCTTATAAGCATCACAGTAACAAGTCAATAATACTTTTTACAAAATTGTTACCCTCGTGTCTAACAAACGCTACATTGGTGATGCTTTGGGTAATATTTCTGAACATTTAGTTTCTTTCTTCTTTGTTTTTTATCAATTTTACTTATCTATATGACCACTGGGTCTAATTTCCTTTTTTGTCATGTGGAAGGGATTTATAATTAAAATATCTCAGGAATAAACGGTGAACATCACATGAATCTTCTGCTTAGTGGGGTTGTTTGCAACCCCAGCATTAACAGTGGTCCACAAACAACAGATGAATAGAGACAGGAGAATGAAAGAGCTCACTTTTGAGTGTTTTTCAAAGTGGGGCAAGGAGCGGTTTTCAAAACCATCCGGGACTCGAGAGCCACTTATAGCCTGCTGACCCACACAGGCGATCATCTGGGAGATGTTAATGAAGGACCCTGAATGCAAGCAAAACAAAAGGATCAGACAGTAAACAGAGCATACAGGCCAAAACGCATTAGATGCAGGAAATAGCAGCTCTAGAAGTTTCACATTTACTATCCATTGTAGCTAACTTTTGCCACAGTGACTGTCAAGTCCTAAAACAAGAAGAAAAGGAAAGCCGAAATAAAAATAAAAGAGTCGTCATAAACACTGATTTTGTCTCCAGACAGAAACGTTTACAAAGAAGTAAAGTTCCAGATACATAGTAAAGAGCTGAAGGAAAACATGCTTCACTTATATTGCTAATATTTTAGACCTATAATTGTAAGAAGCTGCAACTGTAATTCGACTTCTTTTCTTCCCAGGAACCTAAAAGGTACGTTCAGACCTCCATTGTCTGGAATAATTTTCTCTGTTGGTGTGTAAAAACGTAAGCACTTCTTTCATGGTGTTAAAGCATCAAGGCTCCTTTGAAAAAAAAAAAAAAAAAAAAAAAAAAAGGACAAGATCACTCTATCTAATTGCACTGAGAGGTTGCACTGAGGTCAGGGTGTCACTTATCTGAATTTCGGATGTAATCACTTAGAAACGATTTCCTGATGCTGTCTAAAAGCTTGCCGGACTACCGAAGTTCATGCTGCACCATCTTTTCCCAGCTAACTCAACCAGCGACAACTATACCTACAGCTCAACCTTCTAAAATTTAATTAGATAGGATGGGGATGAAGTGACAGTCATGGGAAAGAAAGGTAGCAATAAGGCAAATGTTACTATTAATACTAAACCATAAGTGCTGCAAGTCCTTCAAAGTAAGGACATGGACTCCCGACTGACCTCTTACTAATTCTGGCAGAAGTGGTTTTGTATCTGGAATGTGCTCACAAAACGTTGGGTTACTGAACGTAATCCCTCGTTCGTTGATGACAGAACTACAGTCCTGACCAGACATAGTCATCAGAAGGTCGTATAGGAGTACCATCTTAGAATCTCTATATAGCTTAGATCCAATGTAACATTTTAAAATTCAAAACAGGGCATTGGACAGTAACATCAGACATTACATGGTAAAGTTTGGGATGTTTGTGAATGCTGCCAGAAAAGTTCATACATAAAAGTTTGCAAAGTTGCATTCGAAGAAATGAAAACTAATGGAAGAGATCCATGCAGAGCAGAGATGAGACACCACTGTGCAGCACCATATTGGGTGAAGACAAACAGCATATAAACAAATACATCGTATGTCAATTGTTAAGCATAATGTGAAAAATGTGACGATTTAGACAGCCACAGGACCTCATGGAATCAGGGAGTCACTGAATCAACTATAAACTTATCTGCACACCAAATACTCAGCTCTGGGAAAAATTAAGAGCCCGCTGCACTGAACCCCATTGAAAACCTCCTGGTTATTCCACCAAATATTGATTTCTGAACTCCTCCTGAGTTAAAACAGTGGTATTGGGTATGAGTAGTATTGTTGTTTCTAAATGAATATGAACGTGTTTTCTTTGCATTATTTGAGGTCTGAAAGCACTGCATCTTTTTTTTTTGTTTTTGTTATTTTGACCATTTCTCAGTTTCTGCAAATAAATACTAAATTTTGCTTGGAATTTCGGGGACATGTTGTCAGCAGTTTAAAGAGCAAAAGAACAATGTTCATTTTACTTAAACATGTACCTATAAAAAGTAACATCAGAAAAACTGATCATTTTAAGTGATGTCTTCATTTTTGCCATAGCTGTATGCATAACAACTAAATTACAGCTTTAAAAAAAAGAGACATTAATACACAGATGCATTCAGCATATCGTATGGTTATCAACTGGTTTAGCTGCTATTCAATGTCACTTCTACAGAAAATGCCTTTTTTTAAAAGCACCTGAAAGCCTCTCTACCTTCCTTTGCTATTTTTATTTTTTTTACCTAGAAATGTTAGACATACTGATCAAGCTCACGCTTTTTGTGTTTCTTTTCTGTGATAACTACCAATTAAGAACGGAAAGGTAATCCTAGAATAGTTTTTAGGCAGGCTTACCTTTGGAACCACAGAGAGCCATAATGAGGGGGCTGTTACTCTTATCAAGCTCCCTCAGACAGGCACTGCCAGCTCGGTCTCTGATCACAGAAAGCTCTCTCAAGATGAGAGCCTGTCGAGAAACCAAAACAAAACACGTTGGTGAACATCACAGAATGACAGAATCCATACAAGTTAAGCAATGTTCAGCTATTTGTATCAGTGTACATTAATTTACTGATTTAATGTCAAAGATGTAAAGCCCTTGTTTATTGTTGTGCTGTGTGACTTTGAATTAAACCGATATGTTTTTAAGGTAAAAAGGCAAGTGAAAATTTTCACATTTTGTTAGTGGAGTAAGTCGATGAATAAGCAGCCTTGGTAAGGCTGAAAAAATTGCATAATGAGTGGCTTCTATTTTTAAAGATTGTTAAATGATTCCTTTAGGGCCAGATCAGCATGTGATCACAGCTGCTGTAAAAAAAATTTTTTTTGAAACATTTATAATAATCATTCAAATTTCTGCTGGAGGCTAGTTTGAAAGTCCTGTTTTGTTGGAAATCAGAAAACTCAGTGACACTCCTAATGAGTCACCATCAAAGTGGCGGTGAGGAGGAGTCCGGGTGTAATAAGCCCACCTCCAGGGTCTCCTCTGCCGAGCACCCGGGCTGCTGCTGCAGCTTGCCCGTCTGCAGAGCTTCGATGTATTCATCACACTTCCTGTAGCCGTCGTCCAGCAGGTCCTGTTTGGCCTTCAACAAACCCGTCCCGGGAGTCACGTCACCGATTCCTATAGAGAAGCCTCTGTTGGCTGAAAATCGAATGAGAAAGAACTACATTCAGAACCTCATTGAAGTAATATTGTCAGATTTCCTGTCAACTTTCAACATTTTCTAACTCAAAAGCCAGACGGGCCGCTGGATGAATGACTGCTCTAGTGCCCAACCACTTGGCTTAGCAGGTTTTCTGGGGGAAACCTTGCACATTTAAAAGCGAGTTGCAGCTGCATAATAGCTTAGTTCATATCTTTTCAACCACACTTTACCTTTTTCCCAGCTTGTCATTAAAAACGCTTACTTAAAGCACTCCGTTTTGCAATGATCCTTTGTGGCTTACCCTACTTGTGGAGGGTAAGTTACCCTCCAAAATAAAAACAACATAAAAAAAGTTTAAAACCATGTTTAAAAAGAAAAAGTCTAAAGGAATAAGTTGGGAAGCATTTTCCAGTTTGTGGTTCTCGTTTTAAAGACCAGTTTAAGAAGCTACAGATTTTGAAATCAAAGGAAATGAGAGAAATATTTAACTATCGTTCACATCCCTTCTGTTCAAAGGTTTCAAATTACAAAATGTCTCAATATCAACATTATAAAAAAATCTTTTTTTAAAGAAAGCTCCCAAAAAAACTAGCCTACCTCTTTGGGAGACATTACTATAATAAAGAGATCTATGTTTGTTTTTAGGAATATTTACGTTATATATGTTTGGGTGTACACTAAACATTTGCAAAGTTTTAGTGACCAAATTTTAGGCCAACACTGTGGACCACCTACAAAGATAGACCGGAGCGAGTCGCGCCAGGCGGGACATGGCGTTGGCAGCCTCCAGCTGTCCCCAGTCTCTTAGCAAGATGTAGAAAATGTTGTTCTTTGAGCCGGACCCCAGGGTGCCCTTATCCATGCTTCCACACATCAGCTCACTGTTGTGAATCACCACAACTGAAGGTGTGCGAAAAAAAAAAAAAAAAAAACAGAGGTACAGAGATGAAGACATTAGTTCCAGAAGAGAAACGCCGACAAGGTCAATGGAATAGCGTGATGTTTGCCCAGGACAGCTGATGCTGTTTTAGCAATGAAATATGATATGAGAGACAGTCACTCAATGAATAGTGTGAAAAAAAATATTTTTTTCCCTTACGAGCCTTTTGTGAAATTAGATATTTAGGTTGGAAAAAAAAAAAAGTCATTCGAACTTTTTGTGATTTCTCACAAGGCCTGTCGCGATAAACGATAAATCAATTAATCGCACGATAAATTAAACCTATCGATCTCATTTTAATTATCGGTAAAAATTGTTTAGTTTATCAGTTCCAGTGTTATGTGTTCTTTTGAAAATAGAGTGTATCTATCTATGGCAGGAAATCACATGCATTATTAGTCATTTCCATTAAATCAGAGTCAAAAGGTCTTGAAACAATATTATCGTTTATCACAATAATTTTTTAGATAATTAATCGCTCGGCAAAATTTGTTATCGTGACAGGTCTATGACTCACTATACTTTTCCAAATTTGAAAGTATTTTACTATTGATTTCATATTCCAAAACAAAGCAAAAATAATGAACATCGTGTCTCATTTTTCTCCCATTATCCAATTATAAGCTACTTTGGGATGGCTGATCACATAAAATCAAAGTATGGGCACATTCTGCGAATAAAAAGTAATAAGACAGTAAAAACCATTCAAACTTTTAATGTGAAACTCACATGAGTCGTTGTGGCAGAGATCCTCTCCTTTGCCGCAGTACTGTTTGCCTTTGGTCCGCAAGTTTGCATTGACAGGACAATCTTTACTTGGCTTCAAAATGACACTGAAGATCTGTTTACCTGTCCACAAGGCAATTGGCTGATAGAAACACAGCAGCATATTAGCGGCCTAAGGAAAACAGGGTGGCGTGACAAGAGACACTGTGGTTGCTCTACCTTTATTATAGCAGGGCGAGGGAGAGAGATCCTGATTTTTTCATCTTTCCCCACAAGTATCGATGCAACGATCTGGCAGGCTTTCGACCTATCGAAAAAGGTGTCCTTCAGCGTCAACAGGTACGCACCTTAGAAGACAAAATATGTTGCAAAGTTAGTGCCGGTGAAACATAGCTACTTGTCAAAGCTGCTGTATTGCTCCCTTGACAAGCAAAAAAATTGACATTTTAAAGCATAAACATGTATTTGTAAACATTAGGAAAACTGTGAGAATTTCTAACATTTGTTGATGAAAAATGTAATTTTCTCATTCTAAGTTAAAGATTTTGAAGCATCGTATTAGGAAAGAAACAAACAAACCACTGTTGTCTGTAAACGCTTACGACAGATCTCTGCACCCACCTGTCAGGAAGTCCTGAATAGCAGCAATCAGAGGCTCGCCATTTCTTGGTGTAACAAGGTTAGCTTTAGTCTAGAGGACAAGACAAATAACTGTTGCAAACACTGTGGATTCCTTACAAGAAAACTTACTGAAGGCAACATCTCATTTTTGGATTTCAATTGATTTATTAGCAAATTTTTCAAAGAACCCAGCAATCTAGATAACCAAATTTCCTCCAAAAACAAAATGCATTTTTATTATACAAACCAAATTTGATGTTTTTGCTCATCACAAAAAATATCAGACTTAAGAAATATATATATATATACACTTAAATATATGTAAAAAGTGCTAACTTTAAGATGACAAAATATTACTTTTTTTTTAAATAAGAATAAAAGTAGATCTTGGTTTAGTCATGACTGCAACTTCATTCATGAGTGAATAAAGGAATGAAATAAGGAACACATTAAGTTGGAATATTACTGTTGAATACGATAATGACTGTATAATTTGCCATTATTACTCCAGCTTTTCCTTTTCCACTGTCACATTAGTCCCCCCCTACTCTAAGTATTAGCATCTCATTAAGATTTCAAACTAAGTCTGGAAACATAAAACAGTTAAAACACTGTCCAACTGGTCAAAAATAATATTGGCAAGTCAGGTCTGAATGCATGGCACCATACATATCGTAGCCCAAAATCTCATTGAGACAAACATCTGCAGAGTTCAAAAGACCTAAAATCTTAGAACATAAAAATAAATAAAAAATGCTGAGGCTTTGCCTTTTTGATCAGTTCATTAGCATGAGATCCAAAACATTGTATGTGAGTTTTGAAAAAAATAAAAATTTTAGGCTTTTTATACATCTTAACTTTGGGTGAAAATAATTGTGTAGGGTGTTGTTCTGCTTGAATAATGTGATGACACAAACCCCCATCAGGACCAGGGCTTCGGCTTTGGCTTCTTCAGTCTGAGGCAGGTGGAGATTCATCTCATCGCCATCAAAGTCGGCATTGTACGGCGTGCACACGCACTCGTTAAACCGAAACGTCCTGTGTGGTTTGACTTTAGCCTGCGAGGTTGAGAAAGAGATGATTCATAAGCGAAAGGAATAAAATCAGTATTCTGCTCTTTGACTTTGCAACATTAAATCACCAACGGGAGACAAAAGACACCACTTGAATTCACACAATAACCATAATTACCTATGTTCCTCCAATCAGCCATAGCTCTTTGTAGAGACTTGATGCCTCATTAGTGCATAATAGAAAATTATTATTGTGGTGGGTGATGTAAAGTGCCTGAGCATTCATTTGCTTACATTCTTTTCTGCCTTTTGTTCATATATGCAAAATAAAAAAGCTGTTTCAGCTGTGACTTCTGATCACAGCTGAAAAATTTAAAATGAAAGATAATAGTTCATTGTTGGGAGTAGTGCAACAAAATGAGATTGCACATCATCATTGCAAAAGTAAGTTGCAGATTAACTTCGTAATGTAGGCGGTCAAAAGCTGACCTTCGTGCTAATCATTTTTAATACTTAAGAAGTCTTTACAAATAATGAGTAGCCCTCATAAATATGGTTTCCATTAGATCCACTAGTCCTTGTAACAATCAGTCCTAAATATAGTGTCTCTTCAGCAATGCTGCTGCAACAGATCCATTCTCAACGCCTGGAGTTGTTCTTTCCCACTAAAGCTCTAAGCTTGATCAGGAGAAACTGCTGAGAAAAAAAAAATCAACACAATCTGGACTTCCTTGGGCAGAAAAACCTTTTAAAGGGGCATTGCCATCAATCTTCAAACATTTGAAGAGTGAACTGGACTAAAGCTCAGTTAAATCTGATCCTAAAATGATTCTAATCCTTATGAAAAAATACCAGTTTGTCAGGTAAAGAGCCTTTTGACGACTGAACTAAAGTAAGGAAGAGCTTAGAAATATTTTTAGTCAAAAACCCAACTTACTATGTGAGCCATGATACTGAGTTTGTGCAGAGAAGGCTGTCGATTGAAGAGGACGATGTCTCCATCGATTAGATGTCTTTCCACCACGTCACCAATCCTCAGCTCCTGAGCTATCTTTTCACGGTTCCCGTATTTCAAAAATCTGATGAAGAAAGACAGAGATGTTTACTCTGAGATAAGCTTTATACATGCTGATCCGAGGAAGAAGCAACCAAATTTACCTTTTTATCTGTGTGTGACGAGTCTGGATAAAGTTGGCTCCGGGGTGAACGTCTGGGCCGTTACGAACGAGTTTCCTCATTAGTTCCAGATTGGCTTTGTTTACCTTCAGACAGAGTCAAAGGCAGATACTTCAACTTAGACTCTGACTTTATGTAGGATGTGTAATGAATTTCCTGAACTTATAAAGAACACCTTACCTTCTCTGGATATGTCAGGATTTTAGCCACGTGAACAGGGACAGCAACCTCATCAATCCTTAGGTTTGGGTCAGGGGAAATGACAGTTCTTCCAGAGAAGTCCACTCTTTTTCCTGAGAGGTTTCCTCTGAATCGACCTGAGTCATTAAAGTAAAAATGAGTCAAATTCAAATTAATTATTTAAAAGTGTAATACCATAAAAGTGCCAAAACAGTACTAATTGTGCAAAGATTTGGGATGATCTTTATATATTATTGAACTGCTGCTTGTGCTCAAAATGTCTCAGTAAGTATGATTCGGAATCAATATTGTCACTCAAACAAGTAAAAAGGAAAGAAGGAATGAAAAGAAGGAAGGAAGGAGGGGAGGAAAGAAGGCAGGAAGGAAAAAAGAAAAACATGAAGGTGGGTGGATGACTATTTGCTTATTTAACAAACAGAAAATTCCAAACGTTTGTTTTGAAAGACTTGATCGACATTAGGCATGACGAGCAGGAGGAGTTTGACTAAAAGAGAGAATGCCTTGTCCACTGACTGTACCTTGTTTGCCCTTTAGTCTTTGCACAAAGCCTCTGGTCCACTTTTTAGGTGCCATGTTGAGGGGAATGCCAGAAAGTTCACTGTTGATGTAAAGGGCACACTGCAGCTGCAGGAAGTCCCAATCCTCCATTATCATCTGGGTTTTTGCTCCAGTCATTCGATGCTAAAGGCAAAGAGCGTGATAGAGTAGACTGTTCCAAGGGAAAACAAGACTTATGGCATTAAGATGATCTGTAGAACTGTACTGTTTTTAAATGAAGGAATCAGAGACTCTCTACAGAAGATAATGGCAGTTAAAACTTGCAGAGCAGCTCATTTGACAAATTACACAGACTAGTGACCTAATTAGGAGCAAAAGCCAAGCCTCATCAATGACCCCCTGCAGGTAAAAACACTTCTGTTGACTGAAATGTAATTTCTATTCCAAGTGCAATGACGCTACGCTTTGAAAAGACGATTCACATCAGACCTAATAGCTGATCCATTTCAGCTCAGTCTTCATAATTTAAATAATTATTTACAGTCTTCACACAAGAGTTTAAAGCTACCTGCTAAAAAACAAGACACACAGATTTCTGTTCTATAGTGAAGGTTGAACATATGCAGTGTGTCTTTTAGCTAATTGGATTCACAAATTTCAACTTTCAACCCAGTTCAAACTTTAAATTATGAGAGAATATTAAATACCAGTGTTGCAATTGAGAACCTGCAATCTTTGAGGTGGGGTAGACCAGACATTCAACCCCAGTGATTTAGGATTTAGAGCATATTATCTGGCAAAATTCTATAACAGTTCTATAACAGCTTTATAACAGCAGCAGCAAAGCATCTCAGGGAAAAAGGAAAAATAGCAAAATAAGAACGTCTGGCCTGTGAAGGAATAAGAAATTATAAACTGATGAATTTCTGTGTCATGTTAACATGATAAAGTTCTAGAACTCTTCTTTCAGAGACCCCAGGGGGTATCAGTGAAGAAAGACACATTTTTGTTTTATTGTCTTTTCACTTTTGGTACACAATTTTGTATTTTTTTTTATTTCTCAAAACAATTAAATACAAATTTTTTTGGTTTACCGCGTGAATTTCCAATAAAATACTTCAAAGTTTGTTGGATTCATTAGGACTGCGACAGAACATCAACAGGTACAGGTACATTTTCAAGGAACTATATTTCAGTTGACGACGGTTTCCCTGATTAACACCGACCTTTTTGATGACATCATTTAGGAAGATTATCTCCGTCAGCTTCATGGTCAGATCGTCCTCATTGGTGCCCGACTTCAGATCGCTGACCACTGACGGTCGGATGCAGAGAGGCGGCACGAGCAGACGGGTGATAATGAGATCTGCGGGTTTCCCCGCCTCTGGGTTCATCAACAGCAGAGGGATGTCTTCTGCAGGAATTCTCCGAAATAGATTGAGAACAACCAGAGGGTTCAAATTTTCCTGTGAAAAGGAATGAGACTCAAAGTGAACCAGTCTCCAGTGTAGGGGCAAAAAAACCGCAAACCCTCTTTAGCATACATGTAGCTATGTATTTCTATTTATTTGAACAGATTTGAACCTTACCTGTGCTCTGGGCAATAAAGGCTCCATTAGTTTGTTGTGCTCAATGGCAATATCAAAGGACTGCAGAAAATCAGACACGAAGGGCTCCACCACCTTTTTGGTTGTTTTATACTTCTCGTGGATGATCTTAAGCAAGCCACACTTTTTCACAGATCCATTGAAAGCGCCACAGTTCAAGCAAATTGTCCTTTTGCGGCATTTATCAGAGATCTTCTTCTTCAGCCCTCGTTTCTGCAGGTAGGCCAAGTTTGGCCGTTTCAAGTAATCCATGAATTGCTGCTTGTCTTCTTTGGTCAGCATTATACTCGAACATGTCTTGCAGATCATCTGCACACAGAACATTGAATTATATTTGAACGTTGAATTACGCTTGGAATCAGTCACAAAAATGCCTCAATGAGGAAAGACAAGATTACAGATTCAGATGTTTAAACATTTGAAAACACACAACATTTAAGTTGTATGAATACATTCAGGAGAATTTAAATTCGGAGAACTTATTTAGAACTTCATTTATTATCTTGTTCTGACTGTGACGCTCTAGTGACATCTACAGGACATACAGAGAAATTAAGCAATGTTTCAGGCAGGATTAATCGCTTTCACGGATCGTGCTGATGATCAGATGTTCCTTTTTAAGTAAAAAGGAAATCATGATTTCTTACCTGCAAAATCCCAATAACTGCTTTGAAGTAGCCGACATGAAAGCAGGGCAGCTCCAAATCCAGGTAGCCGTAATGTCCTAAACAATCGGCCAGATTTTTCCCACATGTCAGACATGGTCTGTCTTTCTCACTGGTTCCCTACAGGAAATATTATATATCATGAAAAATGTGCAAACAACATTAATGTGCAAAATCCTGTAAAATATTATACTTTTGTAACGACCTTCACCTACATTTTCTGAGCTTTAACCTTCTACATTTGTACGCATATAGAGTTGAAAGTATTTAATCTTAAGGCATATTCTGAAGGAAACCCTTAGAATGGAAGTAAGGACTATAGGGAGTATGGAGGAGAAAAGTAAAGGAGACTTGGTGAAGTGTACAAGGACACAAAGAGGAAGGAAGGAAGGATTTTTACATCCTATTACTTCCTTTTCCCGTAATTATCCAGACATTTCCAAACCTTTACAGACTGCATATGAACCATGCTGTATAAAGTACATGAACTTTGGCTCCTTAAGCACTTTTATACATGTGGACAGCTAAACTAAGCAGTTTCTTTTTGTGTGTGAGCATAACTGGAGTTAATAAATGTAATAACGTGATTTATTCTTGCACAGAATCCCTCTTGACATAACGTAAAACGATTAATTAAAAGAAAACAAATGACAGTATTATGCTCCATACCATTCGGTGGTCCAACACTCCATAAGGCAAAGGAGTGCGTTTGTTATCTTGGCTGTACAGATTTTTACTGACCACCTGGATGTGGGCCTGCTTTCGCATCTGTTCTGCAGATTTCATCCCAAAGCAGATGTGGCTTCTGTAAACAAGCACAAAGAGTCCAGATAAAGACTGAAATATGCACATTTCAGTTGTGAACTATTCAAACGAATAGATGCTACATTCAATAAGATCAATGTCATATTAATACTGGGCTGCAGAGATGTTTCATTTGACTGACTGAAAAATTACAGAAAATCCGCAATAATTTAAAACAGTTTTTATGAAAATTCATTGCAGTTGACTGACACTGTTGCAGCTCATTCAATTGAAAAAGAACAATCCAAACCCATTGACAGCTCTTAATGAGCAACGTTCATAACCGAAACTCTAAGCAGTATTAACGATAAATGTGATCCCAAAATTAACAAATAAACCACGAATATAAGGTTTAATGTTGCACAAATACGTCACAATATCTCTGCAAAAACACTCAAGGTTGCCTGGTCAACACCAAATACAATAATATTAAATTACTGTAAGTACTACTAATTATAAGATACGTTAGTCAAGAGACAGTAAACCTCATTTGTTCTTTAATCTTTTAAATAATCTTGGCAATAACTGCAACACTTCGACTAACTGTGGCTATCAGACTGAGCTAACAGGCTAGCAGTCACACTCACATTTTCTTCGCCACATCTGTCTCTCTGAATTGTTCCTTCACCATTTTGATAGCTATTGCTATACAACCTTTCGCACAATTAATTAAACTTTTAATCTATCCTTATTCCGACATGTTGCCACTCTGTCTTCACATGCTGTGAACAAACTAGCAAAAAGCCGAGCAATGTGTTGGTAGCATGCGAGGCACATTGGTGCTACGTTCAAGGTGTGTTCGTTATCCTGAGACGTATTTTTTAAATGCTGACGTCCTCCCAGGACTTGGGTGCAGTCAAAAAGTGTATTTCTACATCTAAATGTCCTTGTTTCAAGCATAATTTATAGGCTAGCATTTCTTCTTTTTCTTTTTTCTTTTTTTGCCATTCTTAAGACAATAATGTATGGCGACTTAAAAAGGGAGCTAACGCCGAGTATTTTTTTTTTCAAATATTTTCATAATTTTAGGTCACAATTTGGAATTTAACAATAAATATTTTCTCTTTAAATCCAGCAACTGAATTTCATTTCGCTTTGTTTGGGTGTTTGGATGCTTTCCTATTTTAAAAATCTAATTTACGAGGAGCATGTAAAAGCATCGCGCACAACAGTACACCAAAGAGAACTCGCACAGCTAGCCATGAATTCAGCAAGTACAGAGATTGCGCTGCCCTCTAACGGCTATGAGTTTTATTGTCGTTTTTCCTCCGTGATGTTTTTGCCTGACAGTCATGCTCTATGGTTTTGTAAACGCTCATATTAAATTAGCATGCAGACTTTATCAGAAAGGATCTGACCCGGGGGTCTTCTTGCTGCAAGGCAACATGCCAAGGTAGACCTTGACAGAAAATGTCAACATATACAAAATAAAAGCAGTCAACTGCCAATGGTTCTTTTATTGTTTACACAGAGCGTCTTTTTAAAAGTTTATGCTGGGAGAATGGGAATTTTCTGCTTAACATGAATCCCATACAGTATTTTGTGCAGTGCAAAAATTTTTTTATTTAAGTATGATTAATACCACTTCAATATGTTTTACTACTTTGTCCTGGACTATTGCATAAAATTCCAAAATTTGTAAAAAAAAAAAAAAAAAATCTTAAAGCTCAAGCAGTATGAATTGGGACTTTGCTAACCCTATTTATATTTTTCAGTGCGTGTCTGGAAATTTAGTTGCGCTAATTTTTCAGCATAAATATGAATAATATTAGAGGCGCTACGTGTAGGACTGCCATGTTTTATTTGCATGACGGAGCGAAAAAACGTCACAGGTAAAAAAAAAAAAAAAAAAAGCAGATTCAATGCGGCTCTTATTTGTATGCAATATGATTAGCTGGCCTGTAGAGGGAGACAAATGTACACTATTTCCAACACAAACACTGGAACCACGCTGACAGAGGAGGCTGCAGCGACTGAATGAACTTGCTGTTTGGTGCTACCTGTGATGTATTATACAGTGGCATGAAATCGCTGATGACAACTGATGACTTCCTGATGAGAATTTCCTTCCACTGCGTGTTTGTGTTGATTAATTGTTCTGTCAGCTTATAACCGCTGACAGTGAAAATTGCTTGACTGAATCAGATTTTTCATTTTCCAAGTCTGCTGCCACTTAAGTACTACGATGGCTTCTAATTGAACCACTAATATAATGCTCTACATGATCTGTCTCTGAAGAAAAAAACACCTCCCTTTGCAGACAACCATTCCCCAAAGGCCTTTCTCTCTGTAGGGAAACCAGCTGACTTAATGACACAGATGTATCTGCCTGTATAAATATATCTAAGGAGTGTATGAAGAGGTCCTTTAAACCACTCAAGGGACCACTACAAATAATGCTTCTAACCATGAGGAGTTGCTCAGTTGGCTCTCTTTAAAGTGCCTCTTGAGCATCGCTGTGTACAAAACTGTACATCAGCTATAGTAGAGAAGGCTTAATCGACCAATCAGGAGCTTAAACACACATGTATAAACACTGTACTCCCAATGGAAGAGTCAGTATTTTAAATTTATGACCTCTGGTAAAAAAAAAAAAAAAAAAACTCACTTGGCGCCTGGAATGGTTAGCACTGCTACGCAAATTAGCCATATGCAATGTTCGTTCATTCATTCATTCATTCATTCATTCATTCATTCATTCATTCATTCATTCATTCATTCATTCCCATTAAGCATATTTTTCTATTATATTCTCTCGATTATAGGATCTTCCATGGTTGACGCAGATCAACAAAGTGAATTTGCAAAAACTATTTAGAATGTCAGATTATACTGCAAGTCAGAATACCTGTTAGTGGAGCAATGGAATAATTCATCAGGTACAGCTAACTGTGTTTTTAGATGTCAATTTTTATTCAGTGTGTGAAAAAGCATAATGAACTCACTCCTACCCTTGAATTGGAAACATGATAGAGTGACACCATTATTTGTTTGTGCTTTTTAAAGCAATGTGAGTGTGAAATCAAGTAACAACGACAAGTAACAAGGCGTATAACTACCTTGATAAATATTCATACTCGTTAACTTTTTTGTTTCATATTTTGGACCTTTAAAGAAAAAAAAAAAAAAAAAAAAAAAAAGAAGAAGAAAAAAAATTAAAGTCTTATTGTAATTTCAGCTGACAGACCAACACAAAGTAGAGTATAATTTGATTCATTCCAGTTCAATTTGGTTTATTTAAACAGGGCTAATTCACAATAAATGTCATTTGTTAACTGTGAAGTAGAAGTAAAATCATAATGGTTCTCCATAAAACATAGTGATGGTAGCATTAACCTGCACTTTTCTTAAATTATGACAGGGAATCTGGTTAGAGCTTGGAGCCAACAAGGTGCTAAATTCAGCTAAATCATTGATGAAGAGCTGTGATAGGCTTCAAATGATCTGAGACTGGTTCATAAGTTCACCTTTCATCAGGACAACATACAGCCTGAGTGAAAAGGATTACAAGTCCCTCCTTTAAATCTCGTTTTAAAATGGCCTATTCAAAGTCCAGACCTATATTCAGTTGAGAACCCTTGGAAAATTGCTATTCATCATTTTTCTAGCATATCATTGTGTAATATAATGGTTCTTCTGAGTAAAATAACTTGCTGCTGATTAGGGTTAACACTTAAAAGTTTAAGTATCCTATCAGTTGTTATTACTTTTTCTCTCTCTGCACTCTTAACCACTGAGAACAAACTTACAAAAGAAAAAAAAACTGTCAGTATCTGGAAAGGGGCTATTAAGAAGATGACTATTTACATAAGAAGCAATGAAGGAATTAAGGACAATCACTTAATTCTTTTTTTTTTTTTGTCTTTAATCCAGAACTAGGTGTAAGCTTCAGGTCTGGTTTTATTCATGGAGTTGCCATGTTCTCCCCATTCTCAAGGTACCAAAACATACATATTAAATGGTCTGCACTAGCAAGTTCAAGAACTCCAAAATGCTTACCATTTCATTCAGTCATTCACACATTGATCATGGTAAGCTACATTATAGCAGTAGATGCCCTGGGGTGGGTTAACAGAGGTAAGGCTGTCATACAATTGGCACCCCTGGAATCTCTGACCACCACCAGCAGGCAAGGCAAGTGAAATATTTTGTCCAAGGATGCAACGAAGGATGGAATGGGGGTTTGAACTAGCAACCTACCAGTTGATCCATGATCCAGCCTGTAAGGGAATAATTCATCATTTCAAAAGTGAGATTCTGTACTGGGAGAGCAGACAACAAAGCGGCTTTCTGTGTCTTAAAGAACTTCATTCTCAAAATTGTCGTAGCAGTTAATCCAAACTGTAGTTTGTAAACCTTCAAACCATTGTCCCATTTGCAAGGGGTGGTTATTGACACTTACATAGATGGTTATTTACAAGGAAATTGAAGAAGGGTGTGGTGTGCCACAAATGATGTTCCTGTGTGAAACAGATACCGAGGGCAAAGCATGCAGAGTTTCCATTCAGAATAACATCTAGTAAGAAAGGTATAGCTCTAAAAATAAACAGAGTGGTCACTTAAGCCAAAATCATATTTTTTTGCTTAAAAACATGGCAGTTCACACTTCTTTACTTTTCTACCAAACGGGTTTTCTGATTGACCTCTGCCTGGCCGGTGCAATAGCTATTCTATAAACTCCTGCGCGTCACACCGTCTGCGTTGTGCAAAACATATTTGTGGATCAATGTGGCCACCATCTTCGCATAATTAACATGAGTAATTACTCTTCTTAATTTACAAAGCCACCCAGGGTTCATAATAGTGGCTGCAAAACATTGACCCATGACAATTGATTGATCTCTCCCTTCTTTAAAACCATCCCCCTGCTAATGACTAAGTAATGAGTAGATAGCGTGTGGCTAAGGAGGCTAATACAGCTTTCGTTCTCTTTATCCAGATTGGCCGACACTACCCCTCTCCACATCCACCTCCCCCCCACCTCCCTTTTTTTTCCCTTCTTACCATATTTTCTGCAACAATGTGAGCTCTGCACTTAGAACCCCCTTCCTCCATCTACTTTCTGAGTGTGTGTCAGCATGTGTGTTGTGTGTGCTGTTCAGTAATCAGCCACACAGACTCGCCTTTGGTGGCTGAAGACTGATTCAATATTCCACTGGGTAATTTATGCAGAACTAATTCTCTACAGGAATGGAAGGGCTCGGAGGAAAGCAGACAGAGAGAAAGAGAAAAAGGGAGAGAGGGGAGAGACGTGCAATGCAGAGAGGAAGAAATCTGTGGTGAAATAATTATCCCCGGTGTCACTGCAGCAACATTCTTTGAAGTTGATGTCAATAAAATATTGAGCTACACAATCCATTTCAATTTCACCTCGAGAAAGGAGGCTGCCGAAGGGTCGGGGTGTGTACATAGGAAAAATATATGTAAAAAAAAAACGGAGCAGGGTGCTGGTGGAAAGAACACATCCACACAGACACAAACACATATCTGTTTAACTCACAGCAAGGCGGTGGCTGGTGACGTGTGCTGCTTACAGACCGACTGAGACGTACATCGTTGCCTGTAGTCATTTAACTTGTCAAAACAGCAGGGCTCTGTGTCGCATCCTATTTGGGTTTAAGGGGTTTGAATTACTGAAACAAAAGAAAAGAGGTGAGGGATAAAAAAGATGAAATGAGGAGAGCTTCCCAAGGGAGCCACTGGGATCACAGTACAGAGGTTGTAGTCATTTATGATGGACGGGTTGGTAATAAGAGCCCTTTATTCTCGTGCATGAGTATGACTGTATGCACTGAGGGCTG